CAGCCTCCCAACTGGCTAGGATTACAGGTGTGAGCCACCAGCACCCAGTTGTTGTGGTCTGATTTTTAGTTAATGTAAATATGAAACCTTAGAAGCAAGAACTGTAATAAACGTATTGTGAAGATCACTACTTTGCCTATTATAAACAAGCACAAGAGAAATAATATGTGCAAAATAAATAGACTTAGACCTTATAGGTAGCAAGAATCTTAGAGATCATCTATTACAAAACTTCTATTTTTACAAATTAGGAAATGAGGCTCATTGAAAGTTACATAGCTTGTTCAAGGTGACATAGATAACTTGGCGATGACATTTGAGTCAAGATATACTGGTCTTAGCTCAATTTCTCTTGAAAAATATTTAAGAGTTTCCCCTAAATAACTTTATATTTTCTTTTTTGAATATTTTGAGACAGGGTCTTGCTATGTAGCACTGGTTGGCCTCAAACTCAGGATCCTCTTGCCTCAGCCTCTGAAGTGCTAGGATTACAGGTGTGTATCACCATGCCCAGCCTAAAATAGTATCTTAAACAACATTCTGCCTTAATAGTGTGGAAGATTTGTTTAAGGTCCCTGCTTTGCTTAAGTATAGTTTCATTAAAGACTGCTTAGAATTTCTAAGCACTGATTTTATAAAAATGATTCTATACATACAGCTATGTTATGAATTTTAAAATACTTATATAGAGAGCGTTTAAAACTTAAGAGTAGAAATGTGAACTCTTCCATGTGGTTCAGTCTATAATCATTGTAAAATATGTTTCATAAATATTTACAAGTGAGCTTTGACTCACAATACTTACCTTTTCCATCAACCCAATCCTTGCATGAAGTTCTGTAACTTCATTTCCCTCTCCAATCTTCATATCTAGGCTAGTGAAAATCCTAAAGGGCTAAGCTAGGTATGGAAGAGTCCCAGTGAACAGCACTAAAAGCTCTGTCAGGTCTCTACTTGCTCAATCCAGGAGCGCTGTGAGGATGTGGGTCTGTCTCAATGTGATAGGCACTACAATTCTCTGAGAGAAGGTAGCTTTTAGCATAGTGCTAGAAGATACAGTTCAGAATTTTAGGAAAGACACATCCAAAACATATTTGCTTTCTCATAATGCTAAACACTCAATGAAAATCATTTAGTTATGAGTAAGTTAAAGTCTCATGCTTATTTTTGTTCAAGGTACTGTACTGTAAGCAAATTTAAAAGAGGAGTTCAAAACACTAACTTTAAAGCCACTAAGGAGAACAATTTTTTTTCTTTGTCTCTCTTGTAGTTTTTTATTTTTTTGAGCCAGGGTCTCACTACATAGCTCAGGTTGACCTGGAACTGCCTCAGCCTCATGAGCACTGGGGGTATAGGCATGCGTCACTGTACCAGGCTCCAAAAATTTATTTGGCAAGCATTCTATTTTGTAAGATCATTAAAAGTACAACCACCTGACATTAGAACACAAATTCTCATCTGGATTTTCTTTTCATTTATGTGTGTAAATATCAAGCTAAAACAATTCACGTAATTTTTTTTCCTCATAAAAAAGAAAAAAAAAACTAGAAAAAAGCTTCCCCCCACATTTATTAGCTCATGTTAATTGTACAACATGTGGTTTTTATTGTGATATTTCCATACCTTCATATGGTATATTTTGATCACATTCTTTTCCCTCGTAAAAATGCTTTTAAATGTTTAAGGCTGTTTTCACTTTCCTCTAAGAAGAAGTTAGTGATGTTTAAAAATTTCTTTACTCAAGTGTAACTGCATTTTAAAGATTTCTTTAGGAATATATTTATGTATGCCATACCTCCATTTTATTGGTATTTTGATATTTAATTAAATGTAAAGTACTTACAGTGTATTTCTATGACTTTTGTAGCCTGATTTTAATTTTTAAAAAGTAATTCAGTGTTGCTTTAATGCAACTGTCAGATTTCTAAAAACTGGATACAATTTCTCAAATCAAAACCAATCCCTTAGATGTTAAGTTTAAACTGGCTTCAATATTTCTGGATTTTTGGATTTTTTAAATGGTATTATAAGGGAGCATGTTAGTCTCACTGGCAGTTTCCTCTTATTTAGCCTCTATCTGCTAATCTAAAACTCCTGTGGTCTTGTATCTTCAGTTATCTTGCTCCATAAATCTGTCTCTCTGCCTCTCTTTATGACTCCCCTTTTTTAGGATCTTCAATTTCATTTCTAGTAGATGTCTTTTGTATGCTCAAAAAGTTTTAATTACAAATACAAAACCCTCCTTCAGCCTATATTCTCTCTGTTAACAATGGATTTTATAAGCAGCATTATGTAAGTAACTTAGAGCCAGGTGCAGTGGCAAATACACTTGGGAGGTAGAGGTAGGACTGTGAGTTAGAAGACAGCGTGGCCTATATAGTTATTTGCAGGTCAGCCTGGACTACACAGCCAGACCCTGTCTCAAAAACAACAAACAAACAGTAACAACAAAAAAAGTAGTTTATTTATTCTACTCACTACAACATGGCTTCTACCTTGACATTTCATAGGTACTACAGATGGCTCATATTGCCAAATTCAATGTACACTTTTCTGTCCTCATCTTGAGTCTTGGCAACGTTTAGTACTTGTTTTTGAAATTGATCCCTCTTCAGGCTTTTCATCGCAGTATGGGCTCCTCCTACTCTGACTGTTCAGTAATTTTCATGAGCTTCTCTCTAAGCTTAAGTTTTCTGCCATTCTCATTCAATTTGGATGTCTAACATCCCTCCCACACTTTTTCTAGGAGAACTTTCCTTTAGGTAGGTTTCTTTCCTGTAGTACCTTTCCCCACCTTCCATCCAACTACCCAAGGAAGGGAACTATGGGAGTCAACCAGTCTCTGCCCTCTCATTCATTCTCTACTCCCAGAGACTATGTCCTTCAGTTTCTATCAAGTCTCTCTGACCTATTCCTTTTTCTGCATGGGCACTGCCACAGTGTTAGTTCAGGCTTCATCACTCCTCACCTTAATTATGCTGAGCCTTTCTAACTGGTCTCCTTGCTTCTGTCACAGCCTACTCCAGTTTACCCTCTGCCACGTTGCAAGATTGATTTTTTTTTCTAATAGGTACTTTTGTCATTTCCCGGCTTTGGGTCTTGCAAAAGTTCTCTGTAGATTCAGGAGAATCTTGGCAGAGCATAGAAGGCCCTTGATTTTCTGGATCTTCACCAGCCTTATCTCCTGCTACTCCCCTATAGGCATCTTATGATCCAACCATAGGGGTCTGCTTGCAGTTCTCCAAATACATACTTCATCATGGGAAAACACCACGAGGGAAATTCTAAGACCAGAAGATAGAAGACTATGATATCAAATCACTCCTAAAACTACTGTCTATTTACTTTTCCCTTACTTCCATGGTTAATTCTCTTTCCTTCCTTCAGTTCCCATACCATATGGATGGTGCTGCATTATTTGAAAGAGAAAGAGAATACATTAGGACTGAATGGTAAATAGGCTTTCTAAAGAAAGGCTTGAAAATTAACTGAGATTCAATCCCCAGGACCCAAGAAACCAAACTAAACCAAATCAAAACAAGAAACAGAGTTATCTGTGAGATAACAAGCAATGAAATATAAACTATATGAAATCCAGATATATCTGTCATTTTTTTTCTTTCTTGTTTTTTTTTTTGCTTTCATTTAACTCTGCCATTTCTGAAAACAGTAGCATCACTAAAAATTAAAATGGAATTAAGAAAAACCAAATAATCTTAGAAAGACTATGAAAATACTATTTAAACAGACTATGAAAACAATCCTGAGAACAAAACAAATGTATACAAATTCAATTACAGTTTTCTTTTATATGAGAATGTTTTGATGTCTTTTGAGCATTCATTTTAAACCTGCTGATGAATACACAGGTATGTAATTTTCACACAGACGGTCATGTCTCTAACAATAGTGACATCACTGTTAGATGGGCTTTAAACATATTGTCTAAATCCTTTATTTTGAACTTATTCCAAGAAATTTAAAAAGTAAACACCCAAAGTAAAGTAAGTTATTCAGTCAAATAAATTCAGCAAAAATTGTTTGAATGATGAATGATGACTGATGACTGAATTTCTATGTATTAAGTTTACCAGGGATCTAAACTAGTTAGTGACTATCATGCTTAATGGCATTCCAAGATGAGTTTACTTATTTATCTTTAAGGAAAAGTACTGATCAACAGATAAGAAGCCTTTATTTAGGAGTTTATAAGATACTTTGGGGGACCATTTGGGGGTGAGAACCAGCAGGAGTGAGGAGGGAGAAAGGAGGTAAGTATGATCAAAGCACTTTATATGCATGTATGAAAATAATGAAGTATATTAAAAATTGTTTTTAAAAAGTGGTAAAAGGAAGATAAGAAACTAATTAAGGGGCTGAATATGATTAAAGTACACTGTATGTTTATATGGAAATATCACAGTGAAACCTCTTTGTGCAATGTATGCAAATTAAAAAAAACTGTATTTCATTTTTAAATTCTTGGGCATTTTGTTGGCAGTAATAAATTATATGGTGTGCTCATGTCAACTAAATTATTAAGAGCTATAGATTCATAAAACAATGTGAAAAAATAAAACCTAAAGAAGCTATATTTAAGAGATGAGAGTTTGTCTTTTGCTTTCAGAAACTATGTTATGTTTCCTGAAAATGCATTTTTATATGTCAGAATAAAACATGATGCTAAGATAAAGAATGGTAGGGGAAAAAAGTGATTTTTCTGGTAAGACAAATGGAAATGAGTGACAAGGAGCTATTGCTTTTCATATTGCTTTAAAAGTGGTGGTTGGGAGGCTCTGATAGTTTCTTTAAAAAAAAAAAAAACCCTAACAGAGGGACATATGACAGACCATTAGCAAATAGTTTTAAGTAATAAATTTTTTAAAAAAATTATTAAACCAACTTAGTTACTTGTTTGATTTTTGATACTCAAAATACCTATAAACAACATTCTCCATAGTTGAAAGCAAAACCAAAATCACTATTTAAGTGTTACTTACATTCCAAATCGCAATGTTCCAGAAACGTATGTTTGCCAATGTGCACAATAGAACATGAATGTCCCAGCAAAACAACAAAAGAACATCCAATCGGGATTTGTCCCAAGTTGCACTGCAATACACGTTCCAAGAACCACAAAAACTGCAGAAGAAAAATCACAATGAAAGCTAAACAGTGTGAATAACAAACATTAACTGAGCTAGAGATGATTTTAGATGAGATAAAAAGATAGTATATTGTGAATGTACAATCTACTCTCAGTTATGTATAACAGGAAAGTGGGAAATAATCGTTTATAGTACCACTTATTCCACAACTCTTATCTCTTTTTACATTAACTCACTTAGTAGAACCAAAGTTCTTGAGAACAAGTGAAATACTTAGGCATTTTTGGAGTATTTTCCTAACTTAGTGATAGTGGTTCTAATAAGCAATAAGAAGTTACAGGTGGGCCAAGTGTGCCAGTGCAGCTCGGCGATTCCATACTCCAGAAGCAGGAAGATTATGAGTTTGAGGTCAGTCTGAGCTACAGAGCAAGTTCCGGGCCAACGTGGGTTGACTCTGTCTCAAACCAAAAAGTTACAGGGTAGAGAGCCAAAAAGAAAGCAAAACAAAAATAAAAACCAAAGAGTCTAAATAATCCTCAAAGGAACCTATTTCCTTCAGATTGTAACTTTTTCTTACCTAGCAGATACCATTTCTCTGTAGAAAAAGACTGCCTATAAAAGTTTGGAACTTGAACTATAATGCAAAATGACTGTCACTTGCAATAAAAAAATAAGATACTCAGCATTCTAGTCACCCAGTTAAATTATGACAGCCTCTCAAAAACTAACTTTTATTCAGTGGAAGTTTTGAGTATTTCTTGACTTTTAAAAGCTGTAAGAGCTTAATTGTCCTGCTAACAAATAAGCTGCTGTCAGGACATCAGAAGCCATGATTTTATCATGCATCTGTATCTGCAAATCTGGATGCAGGAGGTAAAACCATCAAGGCTCTTTCTTTCTTTCAATACACACACACACACACACACACACACACACACACACACACACGCACACACATTTATTTAAATGCCATACCAAATAATAAAACTGAGGGGCTAGATTAAATTAAGGGGGAACATTACTGTCAGGAGGACTGGTTAGAAATTCATTTAATTTCTTTCTTTCTTTTCGCTTTTTTCTGTAGTTGTTGGCAGTACTGGGGTTAGAACTCAGGGCCTCATGCTTGCTAGGCACACACTCTACCACCTGAGCCATGCTCCTAGCTCTACAAATTCATTTAGTTTCTAATTCTCTTTTTCCCCTCTAAAAATATACTAAAATATTATTTGAAAAATTAGCAACATTGTGCAAATAAATGTATCACACAGTATATCCAACTGTAGTAATGCAGCTATTGCTAGCAGTTTAGTGGGTTTTTTTCTAATCGTTTTTTAAAAAAGAATTATAAATATTTAAGGTACACAACTCAGTTTTGATATACATATATAGAGTGAATGAATGATTACTACAGTTAAGCACATTAACTTACTCAGCACCTTCCACAGTTACCTGTCTCTATCATGGTAATAACACCTAAAATCTATTCTTAGCAAACTTTCAATGTACAGTACATTACTATTAACTACAGCTCTTATTCTGGATATTAACTCCAGACTCAATAATCCTACTCTTTTTTATCTAAATCCCTATTGCATACTTATAACCCAAGTCTACAACATATTTTTTAGTCTACATTAAGATTCATTTAAATATAAAGACCACAGATTACCAAACTAGTCTCCCACTACTGCACTCCTATCTATAATTCATGAGATTTTGATGACAATTATGCACTAAGATTTTAAAATGAAAAGACACCAAAAAAAATACTTAGGGTTAAAAATAAATATAAATGAACGTAATCTCTAAATTTTCCAATACTGAAAATAAATTCATAATCCTGAAAAAATTAAAATTTAATAACTAAATAAACCTCTTATTTATCCTAATGCCCTTTACCTTATTGTTTTTATTAGTTAATAGCCATTAACCTTAAAAAAAAACCAACAATACCTGTTGATAGTGAATCACAACCATGATCAAAAAGTTCTCCCAAAGGAGAACTACTATTGGTTCTTCTTGCCTGTTTCCCATCTATAGCATCCAAAGACTGGTAAATGAAAAGGCCACATGCACAAGCAATATATGCCCACAGAGGTGCCTGTGAAACAAAAAAAGGCAAGACTATTCAGATATATCAGTTACTGTGTTTAGCTAACACATTTTTTCACCTTCAGGTATTTTATCTTCATTCTCTAGAGAAGTACTCCTGGAAGAGACTGAAGTGTTACATAATGAAGACCTTAATGACTTAATTAGAATTGTTAGAAATTAAATCCCCTGCTTTTAGTGAGCTCAAGCAGATACTTGGGTTCCACATTAGAACTTCCAATGAAGTTCTAAACTATTTAGTATAAAAAAACCACATCTGTACCAAACAAATACAGACTTTTTTCTCGTCATTTCCTTAAATGCAGTACGACAACCATTCACACAGCATTCTGTATATGGAAGGATATTAAACACGGCACCATTTTACATAAGGGACTTAAGCATACCGAGATACTGGAGGGAGGTCCCGGAACCAATTCTCTACAGTACCAAGGGCAAACTGTACAGAAATTTTATGAAAATCCCATGAGAGAACAGATTACCTTCTATAAGATTCTTCCCAATATTTAGATCCTAAGAGCCAACTAACAAATAACCTAGTATAGTTCTCCCCAAATTGTATCTTTTAAGATGTTTATAGGTATTATATGAAAAGAAAAATGTCATGCTAACTTCATGTGGGAAGTTCTGGGTTACACAAGACTTCTTCCAGCCCTTAACATTGCTCGTGCATACTGTGAATTTTCAAGAAACAGAAACAATATACCATTTTCCACATTTATTTGCACAGGTAACTTCAAGGGCTCATGGAACAACACTAGGGAAATGATGATTTAGTACACAGAGACTTCTAACACTATTTTTCAAATAAGCATTGTTTCATTTTAAGGAATAGTTTGTCTTTTCTCAGACAAAAAATGAACTGCTGGTATCGAATTTAAATGTTAAGCATTTAAAAAGAGAGCTTCTATTTGGTTTATCATCGGTAAGAATGTAGAAGATTGTTTTTTTATCACTTTTCACAATTTTCCCTGCCTAGACCATGAAAAAAACTTATAACCACAAGGTATTTTCTCAGACATTGGTTGTCAAGTTACAGTGTACTAATACACAGAGCTGCCAATAACATTCAGCATTTTCTGTATTGGAAAGGGAGTTTTTTCTGCTAAAGATCTGTTTAGAACTTAGTTATTAAACGGCAGTTTCTCTTAAACTTTTTCTTGGTGTTCTATATTTTAGGTTATTGATGCTATCAAAATGACCCTTAAAGCCAGAGTTACAAACCTTGAAAGCAATCATGGTGGTTATGTAATCATGTTTTATACTCAATCACACACTGAAAAGGTTAATGAATCCTACATGACTAAGATCCCCTTTTCTGGACTACTTCTTGTTCCTAAAGGAATCTAGTAACTCTCTAGGGTTGTACTGCCCTATGCAGTAGCCATTAGCCATGTGTAATTATTTTAAATTATTTAAAATGAAATAAAATTAAAAATTCAGTTATTTAGCTATATTAGGCACCTTTCAAATGTTCAACAGTCACATGTGGTTATGGCTATCACACTGGACCATACAGATACAGAACGCTCTCATCATCACAGAAAGTTCTATTGGATAGCTCTGTTTAGAGAAGGAAAAAGCTAGGGTCTTCTTAGGCCCTAAACTTAAGATTTTAATGGGCAAAGTGTTACTATGAAAATATCCATGACTTCAAATAAAGCAAAAATACAATTATACACATAAAAAAGCCTTAAGTTTTCACCTTTGTGTTTTCCTTTCTTCCTGTAAGTCTATAGAATATTAATTCAGTATTTACATACTTCATCTGGTTCCCATTATCTTGCAACTCTTATAGGTATGTTAAAAAGAAAGACCTCTAATTCAAGATATATGGTCTCACTTAAGAGCCTGACAGACACTGAACCAAGGAACACATGGATCAGGATATCACTAACCCAGATAGGTAGGTGTGGAAGAAAATCAGTTTGTGAAATCTTGCAGAGATGTTCTTATGTGAGTCACCTCAGATGAAAAATCAGAAACAGATGGTTTCACTGAACTTTTGGAACACAATTTTAGGATTCACATACATACAAATGTGTACATATGCAGGTAGGAGAGTTTTGTGCCCCTCCTGACCAGGATATATTAAAAAATGTTAAACATTATTATGTTTGAGGAGAGGGACTGGGGGTAAGGGTAGGAAGACAGGCAAAAAGAGGAAGATACTACTTTTTGTTTGAATTCTTCTATGTCATTTTCCTCTTCCTTTTGAATGTCAATAGAAATTGTGCACACAGATTATAGACAACATGGCATTTTAATTTTCTTTTTCTTCCTTTCTTCTTTTTTTTTTTTCGTGGTACTGGGGGTTGAACCCAGAAACCCAGAGCCTTGTGCATGCTAGGCAAACACTCAACCTCTGACCTATATATCCAATGACATTTTAATTTTCTTTACATTTTTCTATGGATAAAAAAAAGTCTAACAAGTTACTTTTTAGTGAGTTCAACCAAAAGCATTAAAGCAATATAAAAACAAAAACAAATGAGCATTTAAACAAAAACCTCTAATATTACAACACATAATCAATGAAGTTCTTACCGGTAATGGCATAGCTCAATTCTGGTTTTCATATGTATAAAATAGATAACACTAACACACATCAAGCTGCTAGACATATTCCAAATTAACCTATGGTACTGAAATCTCAGATACTAGCTAAGCCATACCTGCAGCCTGCCAGGACCTATTTTACTGCATTCTAATCTAAGCCTAATAAGTATTTCTACCACACAGCTATGAATGTATCCAGGCATATCCTTTGTAGGACATTAATCTCCCTTGCAGAGCACCAAACAGGAGCTCATTTTCTACCTTGATTCTTCCCAGCAGCAATTATGAAAAGTTCCTTGTGATCACAATATTTTCCATGCTAGAAGTTTCTCCAAAGGTTTAACTAATTTTAGGGTTACTGTATTCAAAAATCGCTTAAGAAGAGTGGCCAAGGAAAAATATTATAGAGGAACAGTCACTTGGTCAACACCCTGGGGTGTTCAATAGATGGTGATCAGTGACTGAGCTACTGTCGAACCAGTTCTCACTCCCTGAATCTGTGCTAGACCTAGCTTAGGACTAATGTAGGGCTTCACTGGAATTAGCCTAGCTCCCTGTTGTTCTACTACATCTATGATGAGATCAGATGTGGGCCAAACTCATCTGAAGTAGTGGTCAGGGCCTCAGGCAACCCCACGTGAAACAGCTCAAAGGGCATGTGATATGAATAAACAAAAAAATTTTTTTGAGGCAGTGTCTCATCATGTAGTCCAGGCTGGCCTTGAACTCCTGATTGTCTTGCTTCATCCTCCCAGGAGCTGGGATTGCTGTATCTGGCTCTTGCTTTGTTCTTTAAGTGTCTTGACTGAGGTTTAGCAAGATACTTTAGAAAACAGTGTGGCATGGTGGTACATGCTTATAACCCCAGCACTCAAAAGACAGGCAAGAGAGAGGATCTAGAGTTTTAGGAGAGACTGGGATACACAGCAATACCCTATCTTCAATGAATGAATAAATGAATGAAAAAGAAAAGAAGAAAATGAGGGAATCCAGAAATATATTAATCTAATCTGTATTTGCATAGTGTAAGAGGAATTAAAATAAAGGTATTCAAGGTGGAGGGAATAAGCATCTGGAAGACAAAAATCTTCTAGGTAACCATGACCTTCAACAGCCACACTTTAAGAGATACATGTGGAAACAAATGAATTGATGAAAACAAAGGGTAGAGGGTTGGATGGTGGTAACTATGTTTCAAAGGACAAATCATCAGAAGACTACTTTTTAAAAATATCAATTCAAGCTTAAAATGAGATAAGGAATGACTCTTCCATCAAAGTTTATTGTTTTTTTTCTTTTTTTAAGACAGGGTCTGGTTGTGTAGCCCAGGCTTACCTGGGCCTTGCTAGGCAAACCAGAGTGATTTCCAACTCATGATTCTCCTGCTTCTACCTTCTGTGTGCTGGGATTGCTAGTGTGCACCACCATGCCTGCCCTGGTTCATCATTTGGCAAGGAAATTTAAAACCAAAGAACTACACATCAATTTACCCTTTCACATGAAGAGTTCTAGATTTGGTTTCAAGTGGTGGTACAGACAAAACACGCAATAAAAGCAAAAGTGAGGCATGGATTTGAGAAGATCTAGGAAGAGTCTTTGTAAGTAATACCACGCTTCCCTTCTTACTGGAAGCCAGAACAGGACATGGAACAGAAAATATATTGACTTTTTCTTTTACTTTGTCTTTTTAGAATAATAGTGATATATCTGAAGTCTATCAGGTACACATTTACAAAAAGAAAAAAGGATATTCAACAATTCTCGCTGAAATGGAGAGAATACTCTCCACCCCCTCTTCTGTTTTTCCTTTTGAGACAGTGCTAAAATAGGTAGGCAGGCTGGCCTGGGATTTGTGATCCTCCTGCCTCAGCCTACAGACAAGGATTACAGGTACATGGCACAAAACCGAGCTGAGCAAAACAGTTTTTGATAAGCCTGGTTTATAGTCATGTTATCTCAAATATCAGAGACTTTTCTCTGATCATTTTACTTACTTATATTTTTTCGAAGTACTAGGGTTTGAACTCAGGGCATCATACTTGCTAGGCTAGGTGCTCTATCACTTGAGCCTCTCCTCCAGCCCTCTCTAATCATTTTAAACTTTATTCGGTCACTTTAAAACAATGGAATAAAACTCTTTTACAAAAGCATTGAGATTTTACATGTTAATTGCTGCTAACAGTAATTTATCTACCGGGATACAGTATATCCTTTGCTTCTGGTTTCTAATAGGCAATAGTGTATAAGATAGGTTTTATTTATGCGATTATGTTGTGTGTAATAGGTATTTAAAAACTGTTGGCAAATAACTGTCAGATTATTTTACCTTTAGTTAAAATGACCAAAGAATCCCAATGACAGTATTTCTGGTATATAACAAATGTGTTATCTCTTAATAAGAAATTCCTCTTACCTGCTCAGTAGCTGTAGGGCAGTAGAAGACTAACAATACAGTTGTACAGATGTTTATTGATAGTCCAATGATGGTGATGAGATTTGGAGCAATCCACGAGGGAACTCTTCTAACTAGCCATTCCCAATACCCTTGCATGAAGGGCTCAAGCAGGGAGCGTCCGGCACTCTGGTATCTGTGCTCTTCTAGCCGCTTTAGCTGATGTCTTGACAGTGGTGGTGTAGGTAACTGAAACAATTTATTTAATACGCACCCTGTAGTAGTCATATGCCCGAAGCCCATAGGGGACTCTGGGTGAGGATCTCCACATCGTTTCCTTGCTGACCGGTGCCCACTCATGGATCTTGGTTTAGTATTTGGAGACAGCAATTTGTTTTATTTTGTAACTAACTTCTTGTGTCTATTTATCTGGAAAAAAAAAAGATACATTTGTCAACCACTACTTATGTCAGTATCACTAAATTTAAAAAAAATCAACCTAATATAATAATATCAAACAGGAATCAGAAATCTAGGAAGCTGATTTTGGCTCTAGTTCTTATTAAAAGCATTTAACCTGTACGTAAAAATTACCGGGGGCCTTTAATAGTCAAAAGCTTCCTGTTATAGCTCCATGTTATCATTTGTCTGTCATGTTTTTTATCTCACACTGCTTCTGGTAGTAGTCTAACAAGTGTCAGGAATAATCTAATCAATTCATATGTATGCAAACTGAGGTCCCAAAGCTAGTAAGTGAATATTAATATTAGAGGAATGACATGGTTGAAATGGGCTTTAAAATACATTCTTATTTAATGGTAATAAGTAACATTTTTTGGTAACTTACATCATATCCCAAAACTAAGCACTTTTTATATGTTAACTAACCCAAGCCTCACAACTCTAGAAGGAAATGCTATTAATTATCCTCATTTTTATAGAAAAAGAAACTAAGACACATTAAGGCTAATTAAATTGTCCAAATCACACAGCTGGTAAGTGATGTTCAAACAAACATAGTTTCTCTTTGAGTTAAATGAAAAGATAAAAAATCTTTATGTAGGTGGTATTCTAGGTAGGGGTAAACAGCAACAAGAAAAAATTAACTTTCAGGCAGTACTATCTGTATATGTCAAAACAGTGACCTGATGAATTAAAACAGTAATAAGAAAACAAGGATAAATGAATTAAGTGAGGGATTTTGCTAAAAGAATTTGAGTTTAATCCATGAAGTGCTTGCACTTGATTTAGAAAAAATTAGATAACATAAGTAACTAAGCAGCATGAGAAAGTAATTACAAGAATATTTTCAGGATTAATAGAGAAGCTATATATATTATTTAAAATGGAGAAAGCAATGAGAACAATTGAAAATTAGCACATGATCTCAATGGTTTTAAGCTGTGAAGGACTAGAATAGGGTGATGAAGTCGAAGTATGACAGTAACTGTCATCTGCCTATAGACTTGCTACAGGCAATCTCTCCACAGAAGGAAGAAGCAGGAGAAAGTCTTAGAGATTCAATATAAGAAGGAGAAGAAAAGTGACTCAATGGCTACAGGTTCATCAAAAGGGGAAGTTGGGAGTCTGTTATTTCGGGGTGAGGAGTGAAAGGCAAACTGGGGAAAGGGAGGGAGGGAAGACACACTCCTAACTCAGGAATGCTTCCTTTCTTTCTCTTTCTCTAATGCGAGGAATCAAATCCAGGGCTAGCCAAATGCGACACAAGCACTCCACCACTGAGCTACTCCCTTAGTCTACCAACAACTCTTTTTGTTTCTTTGAGGTGATGTTTTGTTATGTTGTCCAGGGTGGCCTAGAGCTAGACCACTTAAATTCAAGCAACCGTCCTGCCTCAGCCTCTCAGTAGCTGGGACTACAGGCATATACCACTATGCCCAGTCAATGCATGTTAACTTTAAAGTAGAAATATTTTAGGTAAAATCAAAAGACTGGCTGGAGTTTGGGCGAGATGAAATTTCAAATCGCCATTTAAAGTTGAAGTCTATTTAAAGATTAGAAAGTAAAAAAATTCTTGAAGGGATTAAGTATAGAGAGAAAAGTATAAGAATAATCAACCTTGTGGGAAATCCAGAGTAGAAGGAAGAACAGAAATACTAAGAAGACTGAAAAAAGCAAACAAAAGGAATAAGTTAACAAAACTAAAAGGATAGTGGCACTGAACCAAAGAGGTATACTTTGATCTTCTGGTTGAAAACTATCCAGAAAGCAATACAAAGTTCCCAGAAATGGTGTACTGTGGGAATAAAGAATATGATACAGGGTCTATGATATCTTAACAGTGGGCCTGGTATCAAAACACATCCAGTTATTCCCTTTTCTTTTTTGTGCCAAGATCCAGTTTATTCTGTCTTGGCAGGGAGGTTCTGAGACTAGCAGGTTCTACCTTATTCTGGGTGGACGGAGGGACCCAGGTTAGTGAAGGAAAGTAATGGGAGAAGTTTTGTGTGTGTGTGGGGAGGTGGCACAGCTGGACTGGACATAGGATACAATGTTGGTGTCACATACAGATGATGGCTTCTTTCTTCTATCCCAATAAATACCAATTCCAAAATTTTAATGTCACTAATGACCCCTGTCCATCATGTATCTCAACATTTGGTTCAGAAAATAGTCACTGCAGTCAAGCTAACGTCTTTAAGTAAAATTTCAAAAAACTCAAAATAATCAGGGCCACAATTTAAGCCACAGAGGTGCTCTGAAAAAAAAAATCAGTATTTCAAACCATGAAGGTAAATCGAAGCTACCTTCTTACTATTTCAAAGAATTCTGCCTCACAACTCTATCACAAAGCTATTGATTGAATCTTTTTATTTCTTTGTTTTTTGGTTGGTACTGGGGCCTTGGTGCCTGCACTAGCCTTGAGCTATATTCTCAACCTTAAAAACATTGCTGTTTTTAAACAATGTTTATATAATGTTAAACAAATGGTGAATAGTTATCATTTTTACATCAAAAGTCAGGACTGATAATCACCAAAACACTTAGGTTCATAGTAACCAAATTTTCTAGTCAAATGATGCATTTTCATATTTGGTATGCTATAATCAACTCTTACAGAATTTCACTTGGGAGAGGAATAAAAAGTTTAGTCAACTCCATTTGTATTTTATTGTTGCAGTGTTCCATCCTTACTAAAAAAAAAAAAAAAAAGGTGATACAGTAAGGACACTAGCCTGCTTTTGGCACCGAACAGTTATAAGCAACTGATCCTAATGGTTTTAAGTTTGAACATTTGGCAGGACTAGTTGACAAACTGATACTTTCCTTCTGAGTTTTTCCCCTCATGACCTAGATTTCTTTTAACCTTTTATTTCTCATTTATAAAAATATACATTTTGACAAACCTGGAAAGATCTAGCCATTATACATCATACATAAAAAGTGGCTATTAGTTTTTTAAGGTTTTCCTTGACAACATTTGAATTTGGCAACATTGTCTCTATGAGTTATTAGCAGTAACATTCCAAGTATAAATTCAGAGACATGTAGCCCCAGACATATATACATAGAGGCTTTACTTTTAACAGGTGCAAATAAAGAGTCACAGAAGGTGCTGACATTGCCACAGGTCCATCTCTATTCTCCTTCCTTTCATCATACCTGAGAGGGGCTGTTACCATGAAAACCATTTCAGAACAGGTGGCTACAACAGGAACATCAAGAAAGAAAGGAAAAAGGGATGTTGGAATGGAAATATGGAAAGGCAGTACAAATGTTATAAAAATAATTTAACTGTTATAGATTTTTATATGCAGTCAGGCCCATGGCCAAGAAGGGTAAGCAGAAAATGTCCTTTCTTACAACAGTATAAAGAACTAAAAATAAAACACCAAAAAAAAAAAAAAATCCAACAAAGTAAAAAAGTAAAATTATTATTGACTAGCCTAGAAACTTACCTACCACGCAAAATAGTTTTTAATGAGAAAATGGAGTCCAAGTTCCAAATGCATTCAGCGAATATCTGAATGCAATGAATGAAACAGATCAGGTCTCAGCTTGCACACACATCCAGTGAAAAATAACTAAAAATTAGCAAACATGCAATAACATCATATCATGTGATGGGCACTATAAGGAAAATAAACTAGGACTCAGGAGTACACATTTTATTTTTTATTTTTTTGGCAATACTGGGAGCTTTGAACTCAGGGCTTCACACTTGCTAGGCACATAGCCGAGCCACATCCTGGCAGAGTGGCTGAAGTCTCTGAAGAAGCTTTTACCCCAAACTCAAAAGGAGCTATTAAGAGCAGGAGGAAGAACAGTCCAAGAAAAAGAAACAGGCCCTGAAGCAGTAAAGCCTTTGTCTTGTTCAAGTAATTAAGAGAGCACAATGACAGGCCAGGAATAATAACCTGATGGAAGAGTGGGATAAAATGAAGTCTGAAAAGTCAGACAATTCAGAGGTTTTAAAGACTATGGCTAAGAGTTGAGATTTTATTTTGCTATAATGGAAACGACCAATGAGCTTATAAGAAACTTACAATTTGGGAGCAGATCCTAATTGTTAACTGACGACAGGTTTTCATAAACCATAAGAGTAAAAGTGAATATATATATTTTTTGATGGTACTGGGGTATGAACTCATGGCCTTGCGTTTGTTTGTTAGGTAGGCACTCTACCACTTGAGAAACTCCACCACCCCAAAAGTGAATATTTTAAACCATAAAAAATGCTCATAGCCTACTGAAATTCAGTTTATGATAATACTGGTTGCAATGCTATAGCTACTGCAATTTTTCCACACAGAATCAATAAACACCACTCTTCTATTATAACCTGGCTCTAGTAATCAGCTCCCTACCTTCCTAGCACTTATCACACTTGAATGTTTGCTGCTTGTAGTCTTTTTTTTTTTTTTTCTTTTGGTCTTTTCCTTACACTGCCCTCTAAGTTCCATGAGTACACAGATCTTATCTGTTCGGTTAACATTCTTTTCCCACAGTCTCATACCATACTTAGCACTAAGCAGGTAATCAGTACTTATTGAATGATGAACAAATGTGATTCATTTAGTATTTAATGTGCACTTAGTTGTTCCAGACCCCATGGAAACAGAAAGATTGAAGTATGCCATTCCATACCCTCTTAGAAGCTCCAAGGGCTGGGGCTAGTTTTGTAAGCTGCTAAGTTATAATATGGTGTCAACCAAAGCCTGAAAAAGCATTTTCTTTGCATTTTCATATGTATGTAAAAAGTCCAACAAGCTATTTAATGACTACACTTGTTAAAATTACACGCAATTTTTGGGCCTTCATATCTATCATGTAGAACATTCGTGCTTACAGCAGCTGAGGATAACAGCCTCCTGCCTACCTTATTTCTGTCTGGACTTCAGTATGGGGAACATTTGACAAAATATCACATTAAAAAAAAAAAAAACCCAAAAAGTCCCAACTGTTGAGTGGAGCAAAAGGTAAACCTACACAATATCCAACCTGCTATGTGAAATTCCAGAATCCATTCCCACTCCCCTCCCCATGTCTAAGGGTGCCAAGTTTTTATCTGCACTGATTCACAGGGACTAGATACTACACAGCTCTTTCCCACCTCTATAGCACTGCTAAAGTAAAATACTAATGGCTGACACTATTGGAGGTGGGATTATAAAGAACAAGGAAGGAAAAGAAAAAGGGAGCAAAAGAAAACTAACAGGAGTAAGCTCAGCATTATTTAACAAACGATACACAACACAAGTGACAAAAACAAAAGACTTGGAAGCAAAAAGAGTGCTGTGTAATACAACTTATATCTAGTGTTTTGCTGAACTGAAATCTTGCACTTCTTAAAAAAGGAAGTAACTTTCTCCTGAGGAGGGGCGATGCAAAGCCTAGCATTTTATACATTACTTTTTATTCTCTTAAAAAGAACAGCACAGGGTGACCCTCGAAAAGAACATCACCAGCACCTTCGGCCAGCTTAAAGAACGAATATGCAGCTTACAAACTGCTATACAATAAAATGTAAATGGCATTAATATGAGGCAGATTTATCCATTTATATGTTGCAATGACAAACTGTATAAGGAGCTTTAACTAGTTTTTCCTCAGCACAGAACGAATATGCAGCAAAATACTTTCAGAATTTCAACCTCTGGATTTCTATGGGAACGCCCATAGTTGTAAATTAGTAACACTCCCAATGTCTTATCACAGTTTAGTTTGCGTTTTGAGTCAGTCAACTGAATACACAGGAATTGGAACACATCCCTGCTAGTTCGAGAGTAAGAACTGAATATTCTGACTACGTACAGGCAAAAACATACTTGTAGAAAAGCCAGCTATGAATTTGCCTCTACATGCTCACCGATGAACTAAAAGATTTCAACCAAAACCACACATTCAATACAACGATGCAAAATGGCAAAAAAAAAAAAAAATGACACAAAAATGCTAAGCACCGAGTTGGACAAAACAGACCCGGCTAAATGCAAAGATCCCACTCATCCATGTGTTCCTGGGATCACGTCCTTTCTCCAAGAACACTGCTGAAAGAAACCCTAGCTGGCACCGCACAAGCTTGTCAAGATGGGCTGAAATTTCTAGAAAAGTTGCTGAGCAAGAAGCGAGGCCCAGCCACGAATCAGCACCACAAGGCGAAGCTGGCCCACGATGCTACACGGTTTATGGACTAGGCAGCACCGGGGCAGGAGGGTGTGGAGCTGACAGGCCAGGTAGGTTCCGCTCCGCAGCGCCCCAGCCCTCCACCCTCCCGACGCCTGCCAGCCGAGGTCCCAGCTACCGACCCTCGACTTGCATCCGGCGTCCCGGCCCCGCGCAGGCGCCTCCCCACCTCCATCCCACAGCCCCCCTCACCTCCCACCACACACACTGGAGACGGGGTGGAGGGGACAGTCAACCCCTCGTGCTCCCCACAACCCGGCGCGCGAGGCCACCCTGCGGGAGGAAGGACGGCGTTCGCTTCAGCCAGCCCACACCCAGCAACACCGGAATGCCCACCCCGGAGCCTCCCAACCTTCTCTCCACAACTCCTGGGAGAAAAGGCCCTCCCACCCCCTTCCACCACGTCCTTCCCATCCCGGCCGCTTTCCCAAGACTGATTCCCATAGCCTTACCCAGACCCCAGCCAGCACACCTAGCAATAACAACTCCGACTCCAGCGGACTGGCCGACTCTGATCGGCGGCAGCACGTTTACGACACTTTCGCGATTGCCGTAAAGAGGGGTCAGAAGGAGCGGCGGCGCGCGTCGAGCTGGCCGGGCTGCTCGGGAGCGCGCTCTAGGGTCCCGCCCTGTCTCCTGCTGCCAAGAGGTTCCCGAGCCAGCGGCTGGCGCTGGCGGGGTCAGCCAGGTAAGGTAGGTCGGGAAGAAAGGTAGGGTTGGAGCTGAAGGGCTGACTGGGACGTCTGAAGCCCAACTCTTGGTCTGGAGAGTGCGTCAGAGAGTGGGATCGCGCCCTGGGCGCACCCCAGGGTCCTCTCCATCACCCCGGGTGGCAAGGCGCGCGAGCCTCCGCGGGCAAGGTGACTTACTTCCACGGGCTACACCGTGTCTGTGCGACAAACCAGAAAAGGGTGACCTGGGCCATGGGCGAGCTCCAGGGAGCACCCAAGAGGAGAGGGTGAGTGCAAGCTGGGCTCAGGTCTCCGCGCCCCACTTTTCTGTCTCCTTTCTTGGTCCTTCCCACTGTCCGCGTGCCCTAAATGGTGCTTAGTGCCAAGGTCCGTCTCCCGCATCTTTTTCTAGCTCCAGACAACGGAAATGAGATCTTTGCTCTAGTGTTACTGGGCTTTGTGAAAAAGCAGCAGTCTAAATAATGACTCTGGTTTTGTTTAAGTGGTGAATGAGAACCTTTGCCCCAGTCCCAGAAAAACTGAGTTCTTGTTGTCACTTCAGGACTCAGATTCCTTGGTGGTGGGGGCGGGGGAAGTTTGAAATTGAGATCCTTGGTGACCTTGTGTTTACAGGAGCTCTGTCTACTACCTACAATTGTATTACAGGGAGTGGTCCAGATGCATAAAGGAAATCGCTAATCCTGTGCGTCCTCCCAAGCCTGCTTTACAGTAGGATGCCTTTGGAAAACTCAGAAAGCACGGCCTAGAAATAATTTTAATTTGTAAATCAGTACCCAACTGCAATTCTTAAATTGTCTTTGCATTAACAAATTTTCATTTCTCTTTCATGTAACTTATAAAAACGTTACTTAATCTTCTAGACTCTAGAATTTAACTTCAAGGAAATTTACATTTGTCAAGAGCCTGTATTGGAATTAGAAAAATAACAATTTTCTTTTATGCTTTGTTTTGGGCCTGGTGGTCCGATGTGCCTCTGAAAGAAGCTCAGGCTTTCTGTCATCCAGAATCTTTCTTATTACTCCTTAGCAGTCACCACTTAGAGGAGACAGCATAAGAAAATCGTCTTATCCCAGTGGCTTTAAAATATTTGTGAAAAAAATTGTAGCTGGAGTTCTGCTTCATGGAGCTTCAAAGAAAGCAGAAAAGATAGGTGAGAGATGCAAAAAAAAAATTTGTTAAACATTTTTACTGCTTTGTAAAGTTTATTCCTGCATATCTTCAAGTATTTTTAAAGGTTTCTTCAATTGTAAAGCATTATAATTCTAATTTTGCTTGGTTGAGAATTACCCTGCCATATTTTGAGTGAGCTTTCCAAGGTGATAATACCTAGGCGATTAGTAATCTCCTAACCTTCTCTGTGTACCTTCTCAGTTGTCACTGGAAACTGTTAAAACATCCAAGCCCTGCCTCCTCTAAATTGTCGGTTAAAACAACTAGAATTTTCACAGAAAAGGAGATACGCAAGCAAGATGATTCATAACTGAAAGAATTTATTCATAGAAGTTGTATCCGGGATGAGTGGCTAGTTGTGACTGTACCAAATTAATAAATCAGCTGTCACTACATTTTATGATAACTCTGCTCCAGTCTAAGGCACAACCCTTGGAGGGTTTGTCTATTTTACAAATAAGAATACTGTAACCCATAAGTTAACTTGCCTGCAATCCTATAGGTGGAAATTTGTAACGGTGGAGTTTGCATTGAGATAAATCCAGTCTCCCAGCTGTGTTCCTTACATTCATCTTATGGACTAGTTAATGCTATATTTTGCTTACAAGTAAGCTGTTGTTCTTCCCTGATTTTTATCTATATGAGAGGAAACTTCTTTTTCTGATATTCTTGTTGAGATCAGGAAAAGGTGTCTGGTGTGACAGAGGATAAGGAAGTTGAAATCCTAGAATTAAAATTTTCATTCCAGATGATGCATCACCATTATAGAAAATTCAGATATCAACTTTTTGAGAAAACTAATGCCGTAGTGATAAAAATCCCTAGACTCTGCCACTTTATCAGCAATCCTCTGTTGGGACCCCGCTTGCTCTGTGAGAGTTCTATTTTCTTCTCGCTTGCTTTAATAAATTGCATACTTTCATGCTCAAAAAAAAACCCCAAAAAACAAAAAAACCACTGTAGCTTATCGTTCAGTCCATGAGTAGTATTGGTGCATTGGTTAAAAATTACACTGTTTAAAATTATATGGATTGAAACAACAATTTCTGATTTTCATTGTATGTGGATTTCAGGATCGTAAAAGGCACAGGTTTGGGCAGTTCTGAAGACTGAAATTTTGCAAATTGATAAAACAGGTAATTTGTCTTTCATATTCTAAAATAGCATGTGGCATTGAGCATTTGAAATGTGGCGAGTGCAACAAAGAAACTGAAAATTTTAATTTATTTAATTTTAACCAATTGAAATTTTAATCTAAATAGAAACATGTGCCTATTAACTACTTATGGGCCATGCACTCTATGCTGATAATATTCCCATTTTTCAAAGGAGAAACTGGTTTGGAGAAGTTATGGTTCATACAAGTTTACACAATCTTATGGAAATAAGGTTTTTGAGCAGAGGAATACTTTAGAATAAAGATAGGATGGATGGAGGAGAAGAAAAACAGGGCAAGAGAATTGAGAATTTGAATTCCGTGGTTACAGTGCACCCTGGGAGGAAGGACGGTTGTAAATGACTTGAGAGTAGAACAGAATTGCCATTTCATAGTGCCAGTGAGGGCTTTGGAGAGGACCTGTGGTTACTCCATAGTCTTAGAATCTGGGTAATCCAGAAAAAAGTGATAATGCTGCTTTGCTGAAATAGAAAACCCAACACCAGTTAGGGGAGTTAAGAGGATTTGATTTGGATTCGTTGTTCATTCCACAAATATTGAGTGATGACTGTGGTTGAGGCCCTCTGCTGTGCTTACATGGAGGAGTGAAGCCTGTCATCTAGATGTCCTCCTAAATTTTCACACTGTAGAAGAAAAGAGCTGTAACAGATGTGCAAGTCAAGTGTTCTCAGAAGAAGGGGTGTTTACATCCAGATAAAAAGGGATTGGTGAGGGTTGTATATGGAAGATAGCAGTTGAGCTCTATTTTGAAGAAAAGGAAGAATCTATGCATGTAAAAAGATAAAATGGGGCGTGAGTGGTGTGGACAAAATGTTTTGAAAATCCTTTCTACTGGAACTCTTAAATGCCTTTTTTTTTTTTGGTGCCAGTAGCCTTCCTGTAATCACAGTTTATGTTCCCAAAATCCACTGGACTTTCTGTAACAAGTGTGGCAAGTACCAACCTCACAAAGTTATACTAGACAAGAAGAGCAAAGATTCTCTGTGTGCCCAGGGCAAAGGGCATTATGACAGGATGCAGAGTGGCTATGGTGGGCAGACCAAGCCCATTTTCTGGGAAAAAGCTAAAAGTACAAAGAAAATTGTGCCGAGGCTTGAGTGTGTTGAGCCCAACTACAGATCTAAGAGAATGCTGGCTATTAAGAGATGCAAACATTTTGAACAGGGAGGAGATAAGAAGAGAAAGGGACAGGTGAACCAGTTCTAAGTTCTGTCTTTTGTTTTTTTATGAAGAAAATAAAATCATGAGGTCAATTTCAAAAACAACAGAAACTCCTTAATTAGATTAGATTAACCTTTTAAGTGTAGCACAGATCTTATTCTCAAGGGTAAAAAGTCAAACAAAGGCCTGAAGCCAGTGCTGAAGCTAATAGTATGTTCTTTTTAGGGGCATTTGGCTGGTAGTGGAATAAAGCACAATGAAGAAGAAGAGACAGCTTCCCTTGCTTCCTACCAGGGTTGCGAGATAGAATTCATAACTCTGTGATGTCTCAAATATACAATTCCAACAGGCCCCATTCATATGGCAGTTTGTGCAAATGGTGCCTATGTTTCAGTAGCTGACATTTTCTAAACATAAAATGTAAATATTTCCACTTGAAATTGCACAACTCAAAGCGTTGGAGAACTACCTCTCCTCAAATTCAGCCAGGATCTCAGAAATCTGCACATTCAGTGAAAGGAAGACCAGAAAAATATCTTCTTCCTGGCAAAGGAAGTTCACAGAAATTTATCAATTTTCATATAAGTCGAGGTGGGGGAATAAAGATTCCATCTGAGCATTTGAAACTATAAAGTCTGCCATCATTCTGGTTCAAGGTTGAAGTTTACATTTTACATGTTCTGAAAAACTGGAAGCCAAGAAATTAGTCAGTTTTGTAATATGCCAAAATGTTTACCAAAAACAAATATAGATCCTCCCTGAAATAATTCATCCTCAATTTAAAGCGCATTTGAAAGAATATGCTCCTAAAAGAGTATTCTTTTAGAATACTCTAAGGTTAAGATCATCTAAATATGAGCTCACAATTGAAAACCATAAAATGTGAGATGTACTGAACCAACGATAATGGAGCTGTATTCCTAAGGACTTGAGGTAGGAATTGTTGGAAACAGAAGTTAAAATAGCACTTACAGAGATGAAAGAAGAAAACCTAGAGAGTTTAGAAGTGATTCAAAATTTACACAAATTGAGAATTATTCTCTTAGTAACCTCTGCTGGAGAAAGCACCTGTAGGTACTTGGTTTCAATTAACTAAAATGAAGAAAAGAAACTGTTGATGAGATATTAAGGTGATAGGGTAAAAAAAGAGTTGGAAAGAGGAGATTATGATATTTTAGGCAGGAAATTACTCAAACCAAGCCTATAATGGTGACTTTAGTGTCAAAGGAGAAGAAACTTGTTTAGCAAGATGTAAATGTACTTATTTAGCAACAAGTCAGATGATCAGAGCAGATCACAATGCCCGTAAAAAATGGCTGAGATTTCATTATTTGGAAAGTCAGTCTGAGATAAGGAAGTTGAGCACAGTGGATTGTGGAGAATAGGAGAGATTAGGATATTTTAAAAGTTCATGGGAGATACTTAATTTTTTTAGGTAATCAATCTACGAAGGCTGTTCCTCCAAATTATTTGTACATACACAAAAAACACAGGAGGAATTTCTTGTAATTTAAAAGTATTTCTATATTTTTTTAAATTTAAAAATAAGTATATGAACATGTAATGTTTTCTAATGCACATTATTATTATTATTTGGTCTTTGTTGTTGGAAATTAAACCCAGGACCTGATACATGCCAGGCTGCTCAACCATTGAACCACATCCCACCCTCTAATTCACATTTTCAACTTATTATTATATAATATCTTCAGTTTGGAATTTAAGGGTGACAGTGATATATGGAATGTATATATTTAGGCCTTTTTTTTCCTCCCTCCGTAGGAGTTGGAAATACAATGGACAAAATAGTTGTTTCCTGCTCTTGCAGAACTTGAAAGTTTAGTGAGGAAGATAAAGCAAACAAACGAGTAACCATTTAGCGTGATCAGTTTCCTGGTTGGGGAAGTTACACAGTATTACTGGAAACAGCAGGGACAGCCAGCTGGAGCCAGAAGGACTTGAAAAATGTATAGAAGTTAACTGGGTAGGTAGTAGGATGGATGGTGACAGCATTGTGATCAGAGCAGATGATAAATACCAGTAAAAACATGGCTGTTTTCATTATTTGGAAAGTCAGCCTGAGATAAGGATGTTGAGCACAATGGATTGTGGAGAATAGGTGAGGTAAATCATCCAAACAGACAGCAATGTACATGAAGAGCCAAAGGTACATAATAGAGCAGGGTACCTTTTAAGAGCTGTGAGAAGTTTGCTATGGCATTGTAGCATAGTAGTACTACAAACTCAAGAATTAAATTACTGGAGTTTGAATTCTATGACCTATGAGCCCTATGACCTTGGGCATTTCTCTTAACCTCTGTAATTTTGTTGAGGGGTATAAATGAGAGCATGTATTTAAGGTGCTTAGTAATATTGCTAGTGTATAGTAAACACTGTTTTTGTAATAATGATGAAGATGATGATGGCTAAAGCAAGGAATTGGGAACAAAGAATAGCTAGAGGTGAATGTAGAAAGGTAAGTGGAGATCAAATGATGTAAGGACCTTCTGGACTGTGTTAACAAGGAAAGACAATTTCTATGAATTTAGGGGAAAAGAGTCTTTGTAGGAGAATAAGATAGTCAGATTAGTATTTTAGAATTAGGAGGATCACTCTGGTTTCAGGATAGTCTTAGATTGATTGTGCTCAAGACTAGAGGAAGACTGAGTAACATGTAGGAAAAACTCTTGCTCAGTAGTCAACATACATACTCTGGACACCAATAAGTGGATAACCAATCAACTAATCCATCAGTTCTGTGTCAGACGTCAGCAGAATATCCTCTGATTTGGTCCTGACAATATATACCCAGAAATAGCATCAGATTCCACAGATTGAGGGCTGAACCCACAAGTCTGTCCCTACTTCCCATGCTGCTCACAAGCCCCAGGTTGTTTCCCTGTGCTTCTGACAGACCAGCTATAAATGGGGACACCCATGATCCCTTCTTTGGGTTTGCTAGAGTGGTTCACAGAACTTAAGGGAACACATTTACCAGTTATTAAGGAATTAGGAAACACATTGTTCAGTTAAAAAGGATACAAGAAAGATCTGCATAGGGAAAGGCATGTTGGGAGGGATCAGGAATCTCCACATGTTCAGCTAGCTACCTGGAAGCTATCCATACCCAGGCCTTTTGAGGTTTTATTTTTATTTGCTAATTCATTCATTCATTCTTGTGAAAACAATGGCTTTATTTGAGAAAACTTTTTGTACACATGGACGGATTTGTACCTCTGGGCCTTCCCAGCTTGGGGCTTCAGGTGGGCAGGTTATAGCTGACAGTCTCCTTTGTGCTGCTCCAGTCACTGGTTCAGCTGTCTGAGCCTGGAGGTCCAGAGTCACAGGTTCAGCTTGATGTTGTGGTTGGGTTTTAGGGCATAAAAATTGAATGTGTTGGCCAGGTTGTGGGCCCTGGGGAAGCCAAGCTTCTCACATGCCTGAGGAGTTGTCTTGCTGTGGCACATAGCCTTGCCAGCGTGCCTGGTGAGCAGAGTGCTGTATTCCTCTGCAGTGTACTTGAAGGCAGTGAGCTTGATGTTCTGACTGACTATACTCTTCTGGTATGTTTGGCAGGCTCAGCACTATAGGATCTGGGTCAATCCTGGCCATGCCATCCATGGGGATGTCACCCGTGAGCAAATCCAACAAGTAGCTCTTTCCATCTGGGGTTCTGTGGGGCAGGAAGTAGGAGGAGGCTGTTGAAATAGGGGAGCTGCAGGCTGGTCATGGCAATGCTGATGTCTTGGAAATACTCCTCTTCCTCCCTTTTGCCATCACAGTGACCTACTCCCAATCTCTCAGCATCAGCTTCCTATTGTTCTCTAAGCGAAGGCCCAGGTGCTTAGTTAGAATTGCCAGCAGTTTGACCTGCTTGACCTGATACTCCTGGCTGAAGTTCACCCAGTCATGATGAAGGTGGTATGAGCCTCAGTGATGGCCAGCTTCATGCTGGTGTCATCAACCTGGTCTGCCAGCATTACTTCCACACCTTTTAGCACTAACTCCTTTGTTGCCCTCTGCCTAAGATCCTGGATCACCACTTGAACCCTGAATATCCCATCTTCCAGGAACATGTGGACCACTATTTTTAAATTTTTAGAACTGGGCATGGTGGTGTGCTCTTGTTGTCCAAGCTACTCAAGAGGCTGAAGTGGGAGGGTCACTTGAATTCAAGGCTAGTTGGGCAACATAGTGAGAACCTGTCTATGGCTTCAGAATCTACCACCACTTTCTTGTTCACCATGAGGGCCTGGTTGAGAGGGATGCATTTCCAAGAGGCCAGCCAGTGGGACACCCTCACTGCTGTCTAGGTGGAAAAAGCTTCTGGGAATGGGAGACCTAACTTGCCAGAGTCCACCGTAGAGGGGTTGGGGGCGATGCAGCCCTGCTGGAGCTGCACTGGCCCCCACTTCAGCTCCAACCCACCCTGGCAGAGCCCTTGCCAGTCACACAGTGTCAGAGGCTCCCTGGTGCCCAACTCCTGGAGGCCCCTGTAGTGATCCTTACCCTGACCCTGCAGGTTGCAGATCTTCCTCCAGGTTCCTGATGTTCATTCTGACATGTGTGGGGTGCTTCCTGGTGTGCCCCTTTTGATTTGTTAAGGAAATTCCATTACATAGACTGATGAAGCTATTGACCATTGATTATTAATCTTCAGCCCCCACCCCCCTTCTTGGGAGATCAGGGGTTGGGAGGAAGGGACTATAAAAGTCCCAACCTAATCATGCCTTGGTCTTTCCTGTGATCAGTCCCCCATCCCGAAGCTACCTAGAGGCTGCGGGGTTCCACATCTGCTGGTTTAACCAACTATGGATTGAAAGTATTAGAAAAAATTCATTGGTATTGAACATGTACAAAGTTTTTTCCTGCTCTTATTCCCTAAACAATAGTGTAAAAGCTAGTTGCATAGCACAGCTAGTTACATAACATTTACACTGTGTTTGGCACTATAAGTAATTGAAATGATTTAAAGAACATGGGAAGATAGGCATAGATTATATGCAAATACCATGCCATTTTACACGAGGGACTTAAGTATTTTGTGGTTTTGGTCTCAGTGAGGTGTCCTAGAACCAGTTCTCCCGAGGATATGGATGGACAAGTACATATTAACAATAGCACAGAGACCATTTAGGAAGTTATGATAATAATCTGACCAGTGATGGTGGTGGTTTAGGTTGAGTGAAGATGGAGAGAAGGGGGAGATTGGAACAAAAGTTAGGAGAATCAGCAGTGTTAATACTTGGTTATGTGTGGGAAGATGGGCAGAGAGTTTGAGGCTATGGCCAGAGGGTGAATCTTGGTTTATTTACTGAAAAGCAGATGTAGGGTTGGCATGAGGGATGCTTTCAGAAGGGGAACAGCTGTAGGTGATAGGTACAAGGTTGTGGGAGTTGTGGGGATGTGGAATGGGGAAGACTTTGGATTATTGTTTCTAATTTGTTTTTTCTCCTACAGAAGACTTGTTTGAAATGTGGTGGTTTCAGCAAGGCCTCAGTTTCTTCCTTCAGCTCTTGTAATTTGGACAGCTGCTGCTTTCACACTTTCATACATTACTGCAGTAACACTCCACCATGTTGACCCTGCTTTGCCTTATATCAGGTCAGTGAAATATTTTTATTTGTATAGGAGACTTTTTATGACTCATTCATTATTTACATTGAAGCTAACATTTCATGTCAACATTTTAAAGTTTGGGTTTTTATGTCAGTATTACAACAACAAGGAAACATAAAAGGAACTTATATTCGACTCTTTCTATGTATAATAGAGAAATGTGGAGACAGTTAAAGAATCGGTTAATAGACTGTGACCCCTTAGAGCTTTGTCTTTCCAGTAAGTGTTTGAGGTTGCCTTGGGACATAGAGTGGGAATTATTTTCCCCTTAAAATTCAGAAATGCTGTAAACAAACAAGAGTGATAATAGGAAAAGATAGCAGTACTGACACAGGCTTATCGATCTACTTACTATGTTCAAGGAAGTGTTCTAATTCTTCATGTGTTGTATAATTGAATCCTTACAACACCCATATGAGGAGAGGAGGATGTGTTAGTCAGCTTTCTGTTACTGTAACAGATATCTGAGATGATTATAAAGAGAAAACTTTATTTTGGCTCACAGTCTTAGGTGTCTATCCCTGATCAATTAATTGGCCCAATTGCTTTTGGCCTGTGACAAGGCAGCACATCATAGCAGTAGCACATGGGGGAGCAAAACCATTCACCTTATGACCTGGAAGCAAACGAGAATAAGAAGGGGGACAGGGTCCTTTAATCTTCTTCAAGAGCATGCCCCCAGTGACCTAAAGAATACCCACTAGGCTCTACCACCTCCCAATAGTGCCTTCCTGGGGACCAAACCTCTAACACATGGGCCTTTGTGGGGCATTTAAGATATAAACTGTGGCAGAAGAAATGGGGTCCAGGGAGGTTAAGTGAAATGCAGAATGGCATCAACTCAGTAAGTGTTGGAACCAAGATGCAAACCTGTTGTGTTTGACTCTAGGGGCTGTGCTCTCACTCGTTAATGATATGCCCATTAGAAATTTCAAAGCAGTAAGTATCAACAGTTACCAGTTTATTATACACACACTCTCGCTAGGTAAGCACTCTGCTACACGAGCTACCTACCATCACCCATCCTCAGTAATATCGTCGAAATCTCAGAATTATCTGTAGCTTAATTATGGGTATTCATCTGTATGTGCTATGTTCATAACCTTTTCTTAAATTATAAAAGCAGTGAGTAATTAGTGCAACAGATTTTAAGAAATACCACAGTGATTAAAAAACAAAAAATAAAAATCTCTTTCTGACCCTAAAGTTCCCCAGCAGTCATTGATAGTTTGGTAGCTTTCTTTCCAGTTTGCTTTGTCCTGTTGTCTATGTTTATACAAAACTTTCCTTTCTTACTACTTTTAACACTTTTTTGGTTTTTAATTTTCATTTATAAAAAGTGATAACATGTTGATATATAAATTGCTTCATTATTCTGCCCCCCTTTTTATGGCTTTTAGAAAACAATAGTAGAATAAAGATCCTGTAACATAATTTAATACACATGTGCTGATATTTAGGTAGATTCATAGACATGAGATTGCTGGATAGGTAGTAGGGTAGTTTAGTTTGACTCGACCAAATGTCTCTCTGAAAGTGTTTCCTCAATTCGTGCATTCACAAAGAGGATATGAGAAAAGTCATAATCATTATGAATGGTTTCTGAGCTATTAAGGCTTAAACTTTTACATAAAAGTGAAGTGAATTAAACAGGGAGGGAGATGAGAAAAACAGTTACAAAAATACCATTGCTAAATATTATTAAACAACTCAATGTTTTAATGGAAATGATCCTACCTGGAATATAGCTAGGTCTAACAAAAGAAGAATTCAGCTTCTATATGACGCCTTTGAAACAACACAGCTCCAGAAAGATGCTGAATGAGTTGCCTTAAAAAAAATTAAATAGTGTTCTTTGTTTTGTAATTGTTTCATTTGTTTACATTCTGAGAATAACCTTTCCAATATGGAAATAGCAAACTTAACCAGAATGTTCAGTTTGGCTTTTTAAAATGTCAAGTAAAGATCTAGGCATTGCCATCTATCTACATTTGTTGTTTCTGCAGTGAAATGGTACCACGCAAAGGACAAGGGACATCAGGTGCACTTAAGAATGTTCACAAAATCCCCAAATTTTTATAATTTAAGGTTCTAATTTGAATGATTTGGTAATGATTACCACTGTGTTGATCAGACTCTAAGAAGCCAGACCATTCTTTAGTGACTTCAAGAGAAGACACATGCTTAAGATTCATGAGGGCCCATCAGTATTTTATTTACCCTTTGAGAACTTGTCTTCTTTCATTCTAAAGAACTTTAAATAATGAGAAGCCACTGCGTTCTTTTTGGGAGTTTCAGTTCTCTGACAGTACTACATGTGATTTTCTAATTGTACTCTGGACACTTCCTTTTCTCTCCTTCTCCTTCTGCTTTTTTATTTTTCAGCTAATAAACTGGGATCTTTCTCCAGTATTTTAAGATATTTAAACTTTAGTACTTATTCTTCTCTTAGGCTCATTTCCTCAATCTACAAAATAATTAAGTTAAACTATAGATATTCTACAAAATTCCTTTCAGTTTCTAGGCCCTATTGAAAAGGTTTAGTTGTTACAGCCCCAAAGGACATAACCAAATGTAAATGTTACTGCAAAGGCAAATTTTGGTGCAAGTGCACTTCAGGTGTTCTCTTTGTCCGTTCCAAGTTTGATGCCGAAGTGGGTTGCATAAGACAAGCTACTGGAGCACAAGAAGAAAATACCAGAACGTCTTTGTATATCTCTTAATAGAAAGATGCTTGAACTTTATAGATATTTAATATATATAATAATAATAGTGTAAACATATCTATTTTGAAGTTACATGGTCAGATTTTTTTGTGTGAGTGAGGGATGGTGTGTAATCTAAATAGTTTGGTGACCACTGTGTTGAAGTTCTATGTTAATGAGGTGATACACATGCTTGTTTTCATTTTAGGCTAGTTGATGTCATTTTGTTTTACAGCCATATATCTGGCTAAGCCAACCATCTTGAAAATGCATGCTATTACTTTCTTTTTGGGGTAATCCAAAGCAGGGACATCATTTGAATTACAACTACTAAAACTATTCGGATTTTTTTCTCTGATTATAACAATAATACACACACATTGTAGAAAACTTGAAAAGTAGAAGGAACAAAAAGACCCCATAGTTCCCATTCCCAGAGATGGTCAAAGGGTAACAAAATCTTCTGCATGTGAAAGATATGTTTTATTCTTTTTTATTTATTCCTTTGTAAATACATTATTCCTGTTTTTCCATTTTCACTGTAGACTTTTTTTCTTTTTTAAAGAGAAAGACTCACAGAGTTGTAGAGTTGGAAAGAACATTTCTTAGAATTCATGTTTGATACTTTCCTTTTCTTAAACCCTTAATCCAGATGTTCACCCAATTACTGATTTTTGCCAGACACGACTTTCTGTGTCTTTTTATCCTTAGTACGTTGTCTTAGGTGAGATGCTGATTATCTCTTTCCTATATTACTTTAATTCAAGACCAAAGACTTTGTCTTTTTTAATCCTTTAGTAGTTTGAAGTGAAGGAAAGTAACTAATATTCAGTGGGTGTCTGCACACGCATCACCACACATCTTACTCTATCCTTACATTGATCTGATGAGGTTGGAAATGAGTGAATAGCTCTATTTTGCAGATCAAAGAGTAGTCTCAGGGAGATAAGAGAATATGCCCTAGCTTCCCCAGTTGGTAAATGGTGGATTTTCTATCTGGGTTTTTAATCCCACAGTATCCTGAAGACATACGCATTGTGATGCACTGTGCTTATTTTGACAGAAGCCTGGTCAGAATGCCAAGCATCACTATCTGCTAGAGGAGAGGTCCAAAGCTATAGTAAAGAGGGTGCTCAAAATTAGTCTTGAATGTAAGCTCCATGAGGGCAGGAGGTTAGTCTGTTTCACTTTGTATTCTTGTCCCGAAAGTGATGCCTGGCACATAAGTGCTTGATAAATATTTTTTAATTGATCAGTAGATAAACAGGTGTTTATTGAATTGTAGGCTGAGTCAACAAGAGGTGTAAAAGTGTGAGAGCTGTGAAAGGGCCTGCGGTTAGGGAATCCTGGTAAGATAAATGCATATGCTTAGTTGATGGTAAGCCAGGAACACATCAAGGATAACTTTTTTTTTAAATAAGTTTATGTTTATTTCTATTATGTGAAAGGGTGTAATCTTAAATGATAGAAAAAAGTGAAGTAGGCAAATAAACTCAAGTTATCATGTGTTCTCTTTATAAAATGATGTGAGAGTTGAGCTCAGGGGCTTTTAAATGACAAAGAGCTTGAAGTAACTCCGTTATTACTCATGCCTTAGAAGAAATATGCATGGATATCTGTGTAGTGTGAAAAAACCACAAATTTTCTTTTTTTCTTTTAGTGACACTGGTACATTAGCTCCAGAAAAATGCTTGTTTGGGGCAATGCTAAATATTGCTGCCGTTTTATGTAAGTAATGAGACTTGTTTTAATGCTCAAAATTATTAGCTAAATTGCTATTTTGTTCTTTAAGCACTATTGTGTTGCTTATTTTCTAGTTATACTTGAAAAATATTATCACTAAATTATTCATTACAGTTATGCTCCTTTTAAAGAAAAAGCTTTTGTAGAAATGCCAAAGTATGTAAATAAACCTTGAAGAAATATCTCTAGGGCTGTTTGACTGCTCATCCAAATAGGAGTTGCAAGTACATCCAAATATTCTTGAAGCCTTAGGTGAACTTAAGCAACCAGTAGGCAACAAGAAATGTAGCTACAGTTGACCACAACTGAATTCCTTCGGGTTAAACAGTTTAGACACTTAAGAATGGAGAAGGAACTATGAGCTGATTTTTGAATGATATTCAAATGCCAGAGGAACATACTGTAGTGCTTCCTATTCCCATTCATTTGTCTGTGAACCAAAACTTTTACTGATTTACTAAAACATTTTTCAACAAATATAATCATTTTAAATATTCTATTTGTCCATAAAATATTTATTATTTGCTTGTATAAAAACCAGAAGTCAGGAAAACAAGGAAATTTGATTTATACCTAAGGTCTTCAGAAATACATCTGCAAAAGTATTTCTCTGCTACGTTTCTATAGTCCTGAGTTCTTCAGCACTATTTCTGCAGTAGGAAGTTTGATTTGGCCCTTTAAAAATGAGTATGGTAAAATGGGCTTTATTTTCCTGCGTAATTGACTGTAATATCTGATTGAGCCAAGTTGGAGTAATTTGAAATAAAATGACATGAGAGTGAGGTAAATCAGCTTTTGATTTTTTTGCCTATGCTCATTTCATCCAAATTCTAGAACTGCTTATTTTGATTTTGATACTAATCATAAAAATAGATTTTTATATAAAAATATTTGTGATTTTTAAAAGATATCAAACTTGACTTAAGTTTTATACTAAATATTTGTAGATATGAGACTCACAGAAGTCAAACAACTTATTCAGGCACACAGAACTACCAGTAGTTCTATGATACAACCTTAAAATTTCTTAAAAATCTGTAACTTTTTTTTTTTTTTTCTGCTCTTCTCAGATTAACTTTGAAAGGGAAATCTTTCCGTGTGGATAGCAGTGACTGTTGTGAAGTCTTCACTGGCAACTGTATTTTCTATGGTCATTTATTACTTTGTTTTTTTTGGATTATCTCTTTCCAGGCATTGCTACCATTTATGTTCGTTATAAGCAAGTTCATGCCCTGAGTCCTGAAGAGAACCTTATCATCAAATTAAACAAGGCTGGTCTTGTACTTGGAATACTGAGTTGTTTAGGACTTTGTCTTGTGGCAAATTTCCAGGTTTGTGTTTTAGCCCAGCCGTAGGTATTTTCCTGAAGTGTATCATATTACATGTTAAAAAGGAAACCTGAAACATTCAGTTACATGCTGTTACTCTTTCTTTTTTTTGTGGGATTGGAGTTTGAACTCAGGGCCTCATGGTTGCAAAGCAGATGCTCTACTACTTGAGCCACACCTCCAGTCCATTTTGCTCTGGTTATTTTGGCTATGGGGTCTTGTGAACTCCTTACCTGCACTGGTCTCTAAACAAGAGCCTCCAGATCTCAGCCTCCCAAGTAGGTTAGATTACAGGAGTGAGCCACCAGCATTCAGCTGTTACTCTTTCTTTATCTTAACACAATGTATCTACCATCTTTATATTATTGGATCTTCTTAGAAACAGCTACTTTTGCAATTAAAAAAATCATGTTCAATAATCTAAACAAACAAATTATTGTAATATTTTTTCAGGATCCACAAGACAGTTATTAGACTTCATTACTACTTAATTGGAGGTTACTTCAAGACCAAACAGAACTGATTTAAATAAGTGGTACAGTTAATTTTAAACATTGGTTATTTTGTTTTGTTTTTAATATGCCTAACAAGTCACAATCCTTTACCTACTTTTTATTCTTGTGTGGATGTTTCCTAAGTGCTTGGCTCTGTACATGAGGAAGCAAGGGAGGATGTGTAGCTTTTCCATCTTTTTCTTCAGGAATTCTTTAAAGTAGCATTCACCCTTCACCAAATACAGTCACGTGACACTTAATGATAGGGATGCCTTCTGAGAAATGCATTGTTGGCACTTTTGTTCTGCAAACGCCATGGATGGCACATATACAAGGCAGCTATGACGTCACTAGGCAATTTAATCTAGTGGGACCACCATTGTAAATGCTGTCCATCGTTGATGGGATGTCACTGTTTGGTCGTGACTATTCTGAAGACTCTCCTCTTTCCTGTCTATTGGCATTCTTTCAGAGGAGTCTTACATCCTGGATATGTGGTATTTTTTTGATTAATCTCTCTGCAGTCTTTAAAGTTTCAATTTATACATTTGACAATTTGTTTAGCATCCAATGGTTATTTAAGTCTATAAATACTCATACAAATACACACACACACACGTGGTCATATTCTGTGTCTCTTATTTAATGTCTTCTAATTTTACCTGCTTCTGATTGGTCTCCTGGGTTTTTTGTTTTGTTTTGTTTTTTGTTTTTTATGGGCTACTGGGGATTGAATCAGGGGTTCAGGTTACCTAAGGAAGCACCCTACCACTTTGAGCTATGCCCACAGCCCTTTTGTTTCCAAGATAGGCTCTTACCAGAGTTCCCTGGGCTGGTCTCAAACTCAGGATCCTCCAGCCTCTGTATCCCGAGTTGCCGGGATTGTAGACTTATGTGACCATGCCTGGCCTTCAGTTTTTTTAGTAATAGTTAACACTACAGGTGAGTATCCCTTATCTGAAATGCTTGGGATGAGAGGCGTTTCAGATTTTTGGAGTTTTGTGGGTGCTCAAAAAGTTTTGGATTTTGGAGCATTTTTAAGTTTCCAATTTTTGAATTAGGGATCCTCAACCTGTAGCAATCTCCAAAAATATACTCCAAGTGAATAATAATTAGTGTATAGTTGTTGGAGCAATGCCAAATTTTCAGTGGTTTATCACAATTAAAGTTTTGTTGTTGTTTGTTTTGGTGTTGTGGGTCGAACCCAGGGCCTTGTAAGTTACATCCCCAACCCAGAAATTTATTTCTTACATACATGCATCTAAGTTTTTTGCTTTGTGTTTTTTGGTTGACAGGTATCTTTTCTCACAGCGTCTATCCATCTTTAGAATCTATCATGCCCTAGGACCTAACTGTTTTCTGCATCTATCTTGCTGAAATAGTAAAAGAGATGCAAAAATCACACCTGCTTCTTAAAAGCTTCAACCTATGTTTTTTAAAAAAATAAATCAGTGACACTTATTAAAGAATGGTGCAGGCTGAATTTCTTTAGGACCATCTCTATAGGTGAAGGAATCCCTGACTTCTGTGGGGTTTTGCAGTAGGGGAGAGAGATTGGACTTAATTTTGAATTCAAAGAAAAAGAGGAATTTATAGCCAACAAGTAGAGTTGGGGTTGGTGGTTGGAAATTACTAAGAGGAAACATGAGGTTAGGTAAGAAGGGATTCTGGCTAAACCCACCTAGTGGGATTCTTGCTGAAGGCAGGGACATTGCCAGGGTGGCGGTGGAGCTTGAGGAACAAGATCAGGGTGATCAGATATTAAGGATGGTGTATCCTAGCTAAATCGATCGAGGGAGAGGCCTTGCCAAAATTGGACAATGCAGAGATGCATGTGGAACCGCAGAAGTCAGGCCTAGTTGAAAGATTGTTCAGAAGAATCTGAGTAGAATTTGGTGAAAGAGATTCCTTGTCATCTGGCAGTGATTCACATCATTCCATTGACTTTCATTTGCAAGAAGTAGAGTGGACAATGGGCCTGACCTGAAAAAAATGGAGTTTTACTAGACCATAGTTTCCGGGAGCAACTCTGTACTGTGGAAGGGGAATTTTGGTGGACAGTTAACTAGCTGTTATAGAGTTCTGCTTTCCCTTATCAGTTCCTGTAACTAAATGTTAAAAAATGTTTTGGGTAATTTTTAGACCGTGGATAGTGATGTAGCAGTTGTAGTGTTGTGGCCCTTCTGGTAACAATATCTCATCACCTGTGTAGGAAAAATGAATCCCAGCTATATGCACCACCCAGTAAATTCCAGTAGCAGTTCCTGGTAGCAAGCGCACAAGCTGCCTTTCTGCCTTTATCTCATTTGCCTACTAAAACAGTTTGTATACTTTTTTGGTGTTTTATTTTCAACTTTCATTCTAAAATACTTTCATCACAGGAGTCCTTATGTTCTTTTAATTTTGGATCAAATTACTCTTTCTCTGTTGATTGTATCTCCTGTGCAACATTGGCCCTGTTGAATGTCCACTTCATCTTTCACTGATGGTTTCTTTGCTGGGCCCTGTTTATCAGCCAATCCTGTAGCATTACCCAAATATCAAATATCTCTCCTTACTTTCTTTTTTCCTTGAGCAGTACTGGGATTTGAACTCAGTTTTGTACCAGGTATTTTACTACTTGAACCACCTCCATCCCTTCTCTTCCTTCTATTTCCCTGCACACCATCTCCTTGTGAGCCAACTTGATTTCATCATCTCTCACCTGGACCTCTGCCACAACCTCCTTAGTAGTTCCTGTGTCCACTCTTATTTTCCTTTCATCAGTTCTTCATTTTGCAGCCAAAGTGATCTAACTCAAAGGTCTTCTGTAATCTAGCTCCTGTCACTTTTAAGCAGATGGTATATATGTTAAAAAGTAAATGTAAGTGGATATCTATAAGAAAAATAAGGTAAAGGAGAAAAAAATTATCATTTTTTGTAATCCCTGATGCATAATCAAAATCAATCAAACCGATGCCAAGGTCTTAAATTGCATTGAAATTTAAATTGGATTTAAATTGAAACTCCCTCCTCCTCTCATTCCCAGCCATCCTAATCTTCCTTCCCTTATAATACCCTTTTCTGTTACCCTTATCAACATGTAGTTTACAGAGAAATTTCCTTACTTATTATTTGCATACCTTTGCTAGAATGTAAATTCTGTGAGGGCAGAGTTTTTATCCATTTTGCTCAGGGCCTGGCACCTAGGAAGCACCCAAAAGACATATTATTAAATGAGTAAAAGAATAAATGAATGATTGTCATTTTCAGCGATACCATATGAAATCATTTGGTTTTACTGTAATCTCTATGTTCATGTTGCGTAATGTGAGATTAAATTGCTTCAGGAAATAATTTGTTTGTAGAATCTGCAGAGCTTCTTCACCCGGTGAATGTCCTGTTGAAATCTCTGGCTTATGTGTTTAAATGTTATATTGGCAGTGTGTTCTGAGTTTCTCTCCTTGACATACTTCTTTTTCTGCCTCTTAGAAAACAACTCTTTTTGTTGCACATGTAAGTGGAGGTGTGCTCACCTTTGGTATGGGCTCTTTATATATGTTTGTTCAGACCATCCTTTCCTACCAAATGCAGCCCAAAGTTCATGGCAAACAAGTCTTCTGGATCAGACTACTGTTGGTTATCTGGTGTGGAGTAAGTGCGTTTAGCAGTATCCTTTGCTGTAATCTGAGGCTACAGTTGGAAGGGAATTGAATAACAAAATTTAAGACAACACTATTGGCACAGTATAAGCAGTTTTTTTGTGGGAGAGAGTCTTAGGTAACGCTAAACTGAAGGATTTGAACGATGAAATTCAGTTTGAAATTTAATAACTAAACCAGAAACAAAGATAATGGTTAGCCAAATCATAATTCAAATGAAATGAAAGATGCAATAACACCCTTCCTCCCTCCTAACAACAATTATCTGACAGGTTTATGATAGGATTGCCAATTATCCAAGCAAAGAGGGAAGGGATTGACTATGAGAACCATTTGGTGATCCCCTGGATGTAGTTTTAGTTTTACTACTGTCTTGTGATATTGTTCAAGAAAATGAGTTTGGACCTTGGCAACAAATGTATGAGTTACTGTTTTGGACTTTTAAAGTGATTTTGGATCTAAAAGTTTAAATTCACAGGTCTTCTCTAAGATTCTTCCTTGACTTATTTTTTTATAGTGCTGACTTGCTCATCAATTTTGTACAGTGGCAATTTTGGCACTGATGTAGTACAGAAACTCCACTGGAATCCTGAAGACAAAGTAAGAACTTAAGAGTTTATAAAACTTAGGTTTGTTTTTTTTAAAAAGATGACTATTTTGGTTGGTTTTGATGTGTTTTTCATTTTATCACTAACAATGAAAGTTCTATGATAGAGTAATGAACTACATATTAGATTTTTTTCTAGATATGATGAAGTTTATGTAGAACCATATTTTCCTGTTACCTATGATAGTAGATATTTTTAAGACATGGGTAGAATTGTGATGACAAGAGTTTCCCTAGACATTGACTCCCCTAAACGTGTACATGGTATACAATATGCCCACTGAGAATTTTTGTTATCATTAGAATACTTATTTTCTGAATTGAAAAGATGTCTTCTCCCACTTTTTGTTATCTAGAACCTTATTATGGGTTCTAAATTTGTGGGTTTCAGTATAGTAGATATGGGAATGTAGATAACATCTTTGATCCTGAGAATAGGGGAGGGGCATAAACTAAGTCTGAAATGAGTTTATGTATTTTGATGTTTTTGAGAATTAATGAAATAATTTATTAGAGTCTCCAAATTACAATCCAAATTATACTTAATATTCTAAAAATAGCCCTTATTAAAGTTTGTGATGAACAGTCACAAACTTTTTGGGGGGTGTATTTTATGAATATCACACCTCTGGGAACAGTAGTAAGTTCTTGTTTGCAGAATGGAAATTCTATTTTGTCTTAATTACCTAGGTGGAAATTTTATTTGTTCCAGGTGAAACTAAAATTTGTTCAAAAGTTGAAAGGCAGACTGGCCTATGAAAATTCAGGATTTTCAGTGGAGAAATACTATACATTATTTGAATAAAATTTCACAAAACTTCTTTTCTCCCTGTCACTCAAGGGTTATGTGCTTCACACGGTCACTACTGCAGCAGAATGGTCTATGTCATTTTCCTTCTTTGGTTTTTTCCTGACTTACATTCGTGATTTTCAGGTAAAAAAAAAAAAAAAAGATAGTATTAGACTTTTTTTTGGTACTGGGGTTTGAACTCAGTTGCTTACACCTTGAGCCACTCCACCAGCCTTTGTTTTTAATGATGGGTTTTTTTGAGATAGAGTCTTGCAAGCTATTTGCCTGGGATGGCTTCAAATTACAATCCTCATGATCTCTGCCTCCTGAGAAGCAAGGATTACAGGCATGAACCAGTGGTACCCAGCAAGAAAAGACCCTATTAGACTTATGCAGCCAAACTTCCTTCTGGTGGAATCACAGAACATTCCATTGTCAAGTGTCTAGTCTTTTAAAAAATTAGTGTTTAAAATCTGGCTCCAGAAATAGTGATACAAAGAGAGTAACTTCTCCAGTAAAATTGTTTCTGTTGGGGAAGTAGTCTATTGATAGCAAGATTCAGCCTTGAAACTGGAGTTGCAAAACATATTTGAAGAACTTCTTTCATAGAATTTATATAAATCTGTGAACATTTACTTAGATCAGTGTAAACAGGGAACTTTCTGAATACAGAGGGTTGGTTTTCCCTTATCACTTGGTGCTAAGGATGATACCTTTGGCAGTAGAACAGCTTTCTCACTCTTGTTACCTATTAGATTGATTTATATCTCCAATCACATAAGATACTCTATAGAACATATTGGATAAGTAATCTCTCTTTAAAGAGCAAACTTCCCTGTATAATTTTCTTTTCTGTTCCAGAAAATTTCTTTACGGGTAGAAGCCAATTTACATGGATTAACCCTCTATGACACTGTTCCTTGTCCTGTGGTCAGTGAACGAACACGACTACTTTCCAGAGATTTTTAATGAAAGGATAAAATATTTCTGTGATGATTATGATTCTCAGGGATTGGAAGAAGGTTCACAAAGTTCTGTATTATACCTGAAATTTTCAACCAGTTAATCAAGACTGACAGTGACATGAATGCTGATAATCAGGAGACATGAATAAGCCATTTGATAAGTTATCTTAAACGATATCATCAAGAGGACTACTTAAAAAACATTTACTTTTTTTTTTTATCTCAGAAAATAAAACCAAAGAACTACGACATTGAAGGGTTTTTTTCTACTTTTTTTAAGAGACCAAGCAGTATGTACAACTCAGCCTCATGTATATGTATTTTGTAAGTAAAAGCATCTTTTGTGAGGGGCATTTTTATGAGAAATACTTTTCCCTGACTCATGTAACCAACATTGGTCAGGAAATCATTTAGAACTGGATTTTGAAATTAGAATCTTAACATGTTAATACATTTCTTATAGTGTTAAAACATTTTGTTGTTGTTGTTCTGGAATCCACTTTTAAATGGGAGAAGACCTGAATTCATGTGAGTTTTTTATGGCTTAAACTTTGCATGGAAGATTCAGTAGATACTGATTTGATTCTGGCCACAAGCCAGGTACTATGCCAACTGATAGATCATATTTGCTTTTAGTAGATTTCATGAAGTCTAGTCTGTAAGAGATTTTTAATTACTAGTGAGACGTTTTCAGTAGTAAATTTACTCCTGTCATGTTTTACATAAAACAAAGGCTAATATTCATAAATAAGGATAAGAAGTTTCTGAATAAAGCATAAATGGTTAATATCAAACAAAAGTTACCCCAACCTGCGGCAAGAGTTTCTTAGATTTTCATTTATATCATAATTACTAGTAAAAGTTGTCTTGATCAGATAAATTTGAGCCTTCTTGAATGGAGTGTGATCTTTTTAGAACCCAGATTCTGAGGAACAAAACCAGAAATCAAAAAACAAAAATAACAATGTAGGTCCAAAATAATTTACATTCATATATCAAAACTTGTTTGTTTGTGTTTTCTCTGTTAATGCAAATAATTATAAGTTTCTACTTGGATATCTGTCCATGTAGATAAAGAATGATAAGATTAAAAGGAAGAAGATGTTCACCTGGGAAAAGAATCTTTGAAGAAGATTAATAAGGATAAAGTTTAAAATGTAAGAAGGAGCAATTTCAGGAAAATGCTTATATTACAGAGTCAGAGACATTGATTACAAATAGGTTGCTAGATATAAGAATCAGTAAATAATGCTTCTGAAGAAATATTCTGGACTAATAAGACAGAAAATGGAGAATACTGTTTACCTATACCAAGCAGCAGTGAACAAGGGAGACATTTCAGTAAACATTGATTGAATGCTGGCATCACTAGAAAAAACAGTTGGATATAGAATAACAAAAAGTACCATGCCTTTGAAAATCAGAGTGCAGTCATTCCTAGAAGTATCACCCACTCCTGATTGCTATGTATCAAGGAAACTAATTGAAATTATGAAGCATCCATAGTATGGTGAAAAGGAAATTGGTAGAATCAATGTTCATAAAACTGTAAATCATGCTGAGCACTGGTGGCTCACACCTGTAATCCTTGCTACTCAGAAGGCAGAGATCAGGAATACTGCAATTCAAAGCCAACCCAGGCAAATAGTTCACAAAATCCTATCTCAAAAGAACAAAAAACAAAAAAACTTTACAAAAAAGGGCCAGTGGAGTGGTTTAAGGTGTAGGCCCTGAGTTCAAACCCCAATACTGCAAAAAACAGCTGTAAATCATGTCTGGGGAAAGTGGCTCAGGGAAAAACATGGAGTTATAAGAATTGTTAATTCCTAGAATATTAGGCATATACTATACATTAAAGAAATTGTTTTGGGTAGTACTGGGTTTTGGATTTAGGGCCTTGGACTTGCTAGGCAAACACTCTACCATTTGATTCATGTCCCCAGCCCTTTTGGGATTTAGTTGTTTTTCAGGTAGAGACCATGATCCTCCTTCCCATAGCTTCATATGTAGCCGGGATCACAGTCACGCCACCATAATCAGCTTATTGATTGAGATGGAGTCTCGCTAACCTTTTGCCAAGGTGGCTTCAAACTATGATCTTTTAGATATGTCTGCCTCTTGAATGGCTAGGATTACAAACATGAGGTACTGTGTACAGCCCCCAAAGAAATTGTCTTAAGACAAAAAATATCATTTTGATAGTACTTAAATCTCAATAGTTAACTTTTACCATTAGAAATAGCATAGACTGAAAATATTAATAGGTTTAAAGAAGGGATTATAAAAAGGGAAAGGTGGCAAATTGTAGACAAGTATACATCCCTGTGTTTCCACAAACTAGAAATAAAACCTCAGTTATGTGGCTTTAAAGAAAGGTGGATAAGTTAGTAAACCAGGGGAGGGCACCAGTAAAAAACTAGACAGATGATTGCTAGAGAAAAGAAGTTTAAAGTACTGAACTTTAAATTTATAAAAGAAATAGAAAACTTTGCTTGAATGGAGCCTAGAGCCACCCTGCAGAAGTAGGACTGACTGCACCTTCCCTCAATCATTCCAGCCCAGTGTTTTCATTTTTGTTGTTGTTGTTGTTTCTGGCAAACAGCTAACAGAAACAAGACAATGCAAGACAAAAAAGAGAAATTTAATAAAGATATAGAAATCCTGAAAAAAAAAACTCAAGTTTAAATTCTGGAAGTAAAAAGCTCTGTAAGTCAACAAAAAACTCAGTTGAAAGCCTTTGCAGTAGATTGGATCAAATGGAAGCCAGAATATCAGGGCTTGTAGACAAAGGCAGATGTAGTAGAAAAATCAATGAAGATGAAAAAAGAATGAAGAATTATGAGCAGAACATGCAAGAACTCTGGAACTCCATGAAAAGACCAAACTTACAAACCTGAGCATAGAAGAATGAGAAGAAGTTCAAGTTAAAGGCATAGGAAATATATTCAATAAAGTAATAGGAAAACCTTCCCAAATTTTGAGAAAGAAATGACTATCCAGGTACAGGAGGCCAGACAAGATCAGAATAGAGCCTTGCTACTTTATATAATAGTTAAAACATTAAGTTTACTGAATTAGGAAAGATAATTGAAAACTACAGGTAGAATGCCAAATCACCTAATAAAGCTAAGCCCATCAGAATAATAGCAGATTAACAGAGACTTTAAAACCAAAGAGCATATGGAATGATGTATTTCAAGCTCTAAAAGAAAATAACTGCCAACATAGATTACCCAAGAAAGCCATCACTCATAATTGAAGAAGAAATAAGAACCTTACATGGTAAACAAAAACTAAAGCAATGTAAGACCAGTAAATGAGCACTACAAAATATACTTAAATGAATCCTATTCACAGAAAAGGAAGATAAATGTAACCATGGAAATATGGCAAAATAAATGATTAGATACACAAATGAGTAGAGAAGAATCAAACACTACAAAAATAACTAAATGGAGTCAGTGGCTCATGCCTGTAATCCTGCCTACTCAGGAAGCTAAGATCAGGAGGATCATGGTTTGAAAACCAGCCTGGGCAAATAGTTTGTGAGATCCTATCTCAAAAATACCCAATGCAAAAAAAGGATTGGTGGAGTGACTCAAATGGTAGAATGCCTTCCTAGAAAGTATGAGGCCCTGAGTTCAATCCCCAGTACCATCAAAAGTAACAACAAAAAAATGGCAGGAATCACTACATACCTTTCAGTGACAACTGAATATTGTCTCACTTCTCCAAGCAAGGGATACAAACTGGGCTGGTGGAGTGGCTCAAATGATGAGTGTCTGCCTAGCAAGTGTGAGACTCTGAATTCAAACCCTAGTGCCACCAAAAAGAAAAGCACAAACTGGTGAAAACAATACCCAACCATTTATTAGCTACAGAAATGCAAAGAGACGAACTCACTGAAAAAGACAAACACAAACTTAAGTGAAAGGCTGGGGAAAAAGATATTCTAAATAAATGAAGCTTGAAAGAAAGCCATACTCATCTGACAAACCACACTTCAAACCAAAATTAGTCAGGAGAGACAAAGAAGGACACTACATACTGATAAAGAGAACAATCCATCATGAGAATTTAACTGCTTGTAAACATAATTAGGCCAAATATCAGCACACCCAATTTCATAAACACACTAGACATAAAGCTCAGACAGACCCCAGTGCAATAGTAGTGGGTGATTTTAATACCCTAATCTCACCAACATACAGGTCATCCAGACATCCCCCTCAAAAAAAATCAACCAGAAAACTTCAGAATTAATTGATAAGATCAAATGGACTTAACAGACATCTGCAGAATATTCTACCCCACAGTCACAAAAGACACCTCAACAGTCTGGATTTTTTTCCAAAATAGATCATCTTGAGCTGGCAGAGTGACTCAAGTGGAAGAGCACCTGCCCAGCAAGCATGAGGCCCCGAGTTCAAACACCAGTATGGCAAAATATAAATAAAATAGATCATGTTTTAAGATACAAAGGAAGTCTTAAAAATGCAAAAAACTTAAAAGTAAGTCTTTCTATTCTATCATACCACAGTGGAATAAAACTAGAAACCAATGCCAATAGAACCTACAGAAAATATTCAAACACATGGGGACTGAGCAACATTTAAGCAACCAGTGGGTCATTGAAGAAATAAAGGAGGAACTAAAACCTATTTCTAGAACCAAAGGAAAATGGAAAAAAAACCCAGAAGCTTTAGGACACAGCAAAAGCATGTCAACAAAATTTATAAATGCACACATTTAAAAAATCAGAGAAGTTTCAAATAAATAACTTCATCACATCTCAAGCTCTTAGGAAAAAACAAACCAAATCTAAAGCCATAGATGGAAAGAAATAATAAATATCTGAGTAGAAATTAGAAAAACTGAGATTAAAGAGAACAACACAAAGAATCAATGGAACAAAAATTGGCTCTATGAAAAGATACACAAGATTGACAAACCTGTAGCCAAAACAACCAACAAAGGAGGGAGAAGACCCACATTAATAGAGCTAGCTAGACACACAAAAAAGGGGATGTCAAAACAAACATCAATGAAATCCAGTGAATCATTAGGGAATATGTCAAAACTTATACTCAAATAGACTGAAAATTCTAGAAGAAATGAATACATTTCTAGATGCATTTGAGCCAAGAGAATAGAAATCAACTAAATAAATCTATATTAAGCAATGAGAGTGAAGCATTGAGTCCCAATGGATTCTCTGCTGAATTCTGCCAGACCATTAAAGAAGAACTAACACCAATGCTTCTATTTCGTAAAATAAGAAGGAAAGGAATGTTTCCAAACTCATTCTGTGAAGCTGGATTACTCAGATGCTCAGACCAGATTAGGGTACAGCAACAACAAAAAAAGAAAATTAACAGACTAATTTCACTGATGAACGTAGATGCAAAAATTCTCAGTGTTATACTTGCCAACCCAATTTAATAACACATTGAAACATCATCAGCCATGATCAAATTAGTCACATTTCAGGGATGCAAAAGTGGTTCAACATATGCAGATCTTTTAAAATAATACAGTGTGTTAACAAAATCACACTATCATCTTAATAGATGCAGAAAAGCTCCCGACAATACTCAACATCCCTTCATGATAAAAGCCTTGAAGAAACTAAGAATAGAAGGAACGTACCTCAACATAATAAAAGTGATTCACACTGAACCTATAGTGAACATCATACTAAATGGAGAAAACCAAACCATTTCCTGTAGTCAGAAATGAGACAAAAATGTCCACTCTCTCCACTAGTGCTAGAATTCTTAGGTGGAACAAAAGGTAAGAGAAAGGAATATGACAGATACAAATAGGAAAGGAAGATGTCAAATTATCCCTATTTGC